TGCCTATTAGATTACCAAATGTTCATGAAAGAATACAGAAAACTGAGACCCAGACCTAAAAAGGTTGTGGCGCCATTGATTTATTTTTTTATAGATATTAAACAGTGTATGGCGTTTCTTAAGTAAGACGAATACTTGAAAAATAGTTGCTGTAATTAAAATAATTCTTATAAAATACAAGTATCTATTTTTCATTTTCGCCTGATTATGCACTAGCCAAGGCTAAATGTAACCCGCCAAGCGTTGCATGTGTCCTTGGGCGGTGATTAGCAGTTTTTGTGAAATAATCCGCCTGTCTCGCTTGTCCATAAAAGAACTTTCAAATAAAATGTAGTATACCGTTTATAATTAAACTCTTTTTTTTAACTTAATCACTGTATATTTTAATCACTAAGGCGTATTCGAGTAAATTAATTAAAAGTATATTGCTTTTGAGCTTTTGAAGTACTTTAAAATATCGAATATTTCGTGTTTAAGATATCACATGACAACATTTTGTTCATAAATTGGACAAAATCCGCTTATATAATTATGATAATAATAATTATGATAACCTAAATCATAAAAGTGTTTTGTCTTTCTGCGTCATAAAATAATTTGACAAAATGAGGTTAGCGACAATTGTATTTAAAAAGTTATTAAACTGATTAGTATTTCTGAATAAGTGGGATAGTCTAAAGATCACCTTATGTCGTTAAAATGTTGTTTGTAGGAATCTGTCAAGTGGCCGCGTGGCGTATTGGTCAATAAAACAAATCGACCACAACCATCTATTTGTGAAGGCGTTTCGTTACTCAATGAATGTTATATTTACACATCGTAAAACCTAGCTTTCAATGAGTGCGACTGAAAGGTTATGGTAATAGTTTCCAGAATACCCGTTATTGCATGCAATTGCAAGAAATAACAATTCAAATTATTTTTACTTTCATCTGAATGAAACGTTCAGATAAATCTAGACAAAACCAGATATAACCGCAAAAAGTAGTGTGAGATATTTTAGTATTTGCATAAATAATCTTGTTCTATTTATAATCATTCGCAGTGTTTACATGCCAGTAATATTCTTAGGATTTAAATGACCTAAATAAATCAGTGTATGATTGACGCTTTAATTATTTTACATTAATTACGTTTCCGCTTATATATATAGATACTAATATAATGCTAATTCGAAGAATGAAGTCAAGAATTCTGTCTTGTTAATACTTAAATATTAGAGGTAAATACGATATTAGAAGAATCATACTTTATCTAGACTGATAAAGTATAATTCTTCTAATATGTATACGATATATGATACGCCAGCAAAAAAGATGATATATTTTTTTTCTCGTATATTATTTTAATGTTGTATACTCTGTTTACCTAATTCCTATTATCTGTGCCCTATAATCAACGCTATTCACTATGGGACAATGATTTTTTTACTTAGGTACGACTGCTTACAGTTTTATTCACAAACGTACTGTTAAAGGTTTCCTCCGTTATTTACAAAAAAAATATATAATAATAATAATAAAAATTTAAGTCTCCTAGGACCGTTAGACGAAAAAGTTTAAAAAATGTTTCATCAAAAGGCTCAAGATGAATGATGAGAGAAATACCTGTGTATTACTAATGATTTTAACTAGAACTAATAGTACATGAATTCAATATTGTATTCTCCATAATAACAAGCATCTTATACTTGAAGGAAATTATGGCTATTTTCATTTATTTTTCAGTAATATTACTATAAAAACTCCTAGTTTTTATAGTAAGAAGAAGAGCAAGAATCTTCTCTTGAGGAAGTCAATGAATAATACATCCCATCATTCCATTTGTCCCTCCTTTCCGGAGAACGCGTTTTGGCCAAAATTCACCGATGTCCAGATTGAGCATTCTGTTAAACGAGCTGGGTCTGGATATCCATAGTTGCTCCCCTCACACTTTAAGAGTGATTTTCGTTTAATTTTTATATATATTATATTATTGTTTTTCTTAATTTATTTTTATTATTTCTTATATGCTATGTTTGCCTGTAAGTGCTTGTCACATTAAATTTTTTATTAAATATTGTCTTTTATTGACATAACTTTTAGACATAGAAAAACACTTTTTTAACGGATTTGAAGCTATGTTTTATTATAAATTTACAATTATTTTACATTACAGCTGTGATACTTTTTGACATTCAACACCTTTTGTCTTCAGTCACCGTGACCACGCACGCTGTAAAGCAGGCAAAACGTCGGTTAAATTTAAAATTATGTAAAATAATTGTAAATTTATAATAAAACATAGCTTCAAATCCGTTAAAAAGTGTTTTTCACTTGTATTTAATTTTTCTTTTATCAATGTATCAGTGTGCCGAGCGTTGGCAAGCTTTTATAAATACACTAAATACGGGCATAGACACGCCCGCGAAGTTATGAATTTTTAATATTGAAATAGTTGCGTAGGAGTTTCTTTATAAATAATGGGAGATATTAGTTAGTTGTGAAGTGATAACAATAAACACATAATATTCAACCACTTTAACACAGCTGGATGAATCAAACGCTTTTATTTTGAAAGCTTCATGATAATTGATAAGTAAATTGAAGATTTTACCCAATTTTATTGATTTAAATCAACGTGAATATAAACAAATACATTCAATAAACACTATAAAAATGTAATGATTAAAAATAATCAGGAAATATTAAAAAGAAAACTAATATCATTGTTTTTTTTATTAATAGGGTTTATTGATAATTAACAATAAACATTGTTTATCATCCATATCTAATAACAAAAAGTGTTTTCCGATATTGTATACTTTACATTACAGGAATCGTGCACGATGCTGTCATGTGCATTTAATTATTGTTATACACAAAATGTATTAATTAGCAATTAATACATTTAAGTTAAAAACGATTAAAAATGAAAATTAAATTAAATTAAATTTTATTTTAATTTTTTTTTATTTGATTTTGTTAGTTAGTTTTTACCCTTTAAAGTTGTTTTCAACTACGGTCTCAGATTTTACAATCTTTGACGTGCTCAAGGGTCAGAACAGAATTACCCAAAGATTTTATTTTTATAGAGCGATTTACAATCTCTAAATTTATATTAATTAATCCATTATATTAAGAAATACAATATTAGCAATTTATTAGCTTCTATTCGCGGAATCATTTTTAAAACCAATCTATAGAGAACACCACCACCAACGTTCATAACAAAAATAAGTTATAAATTCAATTGAAATAAAACAAACCAAATTGGTTCGTACACACAGCGCGGGTTAGAAGGTTACAATTATTATACATACATTGTTTCTGTGTGCCTATAGAGAAAGAGGGTATAAATAAGTTTTGGACTGACTGTTATGGCATAATTTTTATTATTATTCATTTGTATTAACAAACATGTTTTCTTTGTTATAAAGTATTATTATTACAGCCATTATAGTAACAATAGAATGCGAAATTTCTTTAGATAACGATAACAATGAATTTTATTGGAAACGATCCAGTACGTAGTGTTCATTATATGTTGAATACAAAAGTACTCCGACCAAGTCGATAGGCTTTTGTAGTGTCGTCTGAGAGTCGTCGTCACTAATGGATCGCTTTGTTTAAAACACTCGTGACAAATAGTAAATAAGTTCTCAAGTATTTGTTATTACATTTGATTACCGAAGCGTTCATAATAATTAAATTTGAAATTTGTCCTCCGCCTCTGGTGAGAGGAAACCTTTTTTTCACTTGGGGACAATTACGCATAATGCGTAGTATACACAGCGAATTTGTGGAATTGGCTGTGTATACTATGCATGAATGAACCCAAGGTGCCTCTCCTTCTTTCCTAACCGCTTGTGGTATGGTGCACATGATATGGGACATGGTTTTATCTACCTCTACAGCCGTAGAAAGGGCCCGGTTAAATTTAAGACTTATAGGAGACTAAAGGTACCTTAGATTATACTACATTTTGCTAAAACAACTTCATATTAACATATTGGGTTAAATTGATGTCAACTATTACATACAGTACAAACCTACAGAAAAAAAATTATAAAAAAACTTTCTACTTCGTGCCGACTTCGTTACTGTCAGTAACAGGAATATATATATATATAGTAAATTATCTAAATTCTAACAATATAGCTTCGATTACTCTATTAAAATCAGTAGGAAAACGTCGAAGCTCGGCATTTTTTTAATGATCGTAAAATTTAATACAACCGCAATATCTTGTAAAAGTTATGAAAGGAAAGAGATAAGAACTACTAATCCAGCTTATAAAGAATTAATCTATTCAACTGCAGCAAGCAACTCAAAAGACTATCGTTGTAAGCTTCGATGGAATATAAAATTACAATTTTCAATAGCATTGATTGAGACTCAACGCCGACCCAAGTTTTCCTATTAAAAGTTTCTGCTCGTTAGAGAATCTTTGAAATTTTCATTTTTACTTTGACGACATGGATACTCGTTTTCAACATCGCTTGAGATCGTAAATTAGTTAGAACGAAGCGACAAGCTTATCGCAGATTTGTTTTAAATTTTTTACCATAATTCTACTTTCTTATTTGAAACAGTATCTATACTATTATTATTATTTTAACTACTGAGAAGCACAGATTGTTGTAGGAGATATGTCTTTTTGCTGAGGTTTGAATGAACAATCAAAATTAAGGCTTTATTATCCAACCCTTGCCGTATTGTAGGACTAGATTGTACTGAAGGAACTAAATTTACCATTTTATACAAACGTGCAATTGTCTACATTTATACTCGAAAATATTTTAGGATTACGTATATAATACAAACTGTGTAAAATTTTGTGAATATTACTGTCTGTAATGATATAATTTATGTCTGCTCGTATAGATAGTAAAACAAAGCGTTGGAACGTGTCGCTTGATTGTGATTGGTCCTTAACCAACCACAATCAAACGATATAAATTGTTTTGTTTTCAGCTATACTTTAATTTTCCTTGCGCTTATCTGATTTTTTATCTACAGATAAGCGGCCTCAGGTTTGAAACTCAACTAAGGACACTTAACCAATTCCCGGAAACGCTGCTGGGAGACCCAGCGCGAAGAATAAGATACTTTGACCCAGTACGGTAAGAAATTCTTATTATTTTCCCACGTTTTACACCAATATACCTCATAATATACACAATAAGAAACGGATTTTCATACAGACAATAATCAATATTATGCACTGTTTTATGTGTTTGGCGCAAAGAAATAAATTCGAATAAAAAACAAACAATTTTTATTCCATTGCGATGATTATTAGTAATATATAATATTGAGCCAGCGGAGGGAGTGAGTATAAAAAAATAATATGTACTTCCAAAGGCATTATACTTTATCATTTAAATTATAAATAAAATAAGATATTTAAGAATTAAAAGAAATTTTATATTTCAATAGTTGTTCTCTTCCAGGAATGAGTACTTCTTCGACAGAAACAGACCATCTTTCGACGCCATTCTGTATTACTACCAGAGTGGTGGTCGGCTGCGAAGACCCGTCAACGTCCCACTCGATGTCTTCTCTGAGGAAATCAAATTCTACGAGCTCGGAGAACAGGCCACAAACAAATTCCGGTATGTAATCTATATAAAGCCCATTTTCTGAAATATTTTATAAAACAAATCTCTTTACAGAATTGTGTTTTCAATATTTAAATGATAACATATTTACTATAAAAAGGGCCAATAGATTTATTACGATATTACAACTTTTTGATTTTTTTAAAGAAGAAACTGTAATTTAAATAAATAAAAGCATTAATTAACAACCTCGAAACTCGAGAGTGAACTGAACGAATAACCGACTATTATTTTTGCCGATAAATCTCATTGCGTCAAAAACTGTTTTCAAGTTATGACCAGTTCATTGAAAATTGTTAAAAATACAAACTGATTTCGAATCATAAAAAACTATTTTATTTCAGTGAGGATGAAGGTTTCATCAAGGAAGAGGAGAAGCCTCTGCCAACCAACGAACGTCAGCGCAAAATCTGGCTGCTCTTCGAATACCCTGAGAGCTCCCAGGCTGCCCGTGTTGTTGCCATCATTTCGGTGTTCGTGATCCTCCTTTCCATCGTCATTTTCTGCCTTGAAACACTGCCAGAATTCAAGCACTACAAAGTTTACAACACTACCACCAATGGTACCAAGATCGAAGAGGATGAGGTCCCCGACATCACCGACCCATTCTTCTTAATAGAAACCCTGTGCATCATCTGGTTTACGTTCGAGTTGATTGTGAGATTTTTAGCATGTCCGAACAAATTTAACTTCTTCAGAGACGTGATGAACATAATAGATATCATAGCTATTATTCCCTACTTCATCACGCTTGCTACCGTCGTTGCTGAAGAAGAGGACACGCTTAATCTGCCTCGAGCTCCGGTATCCCCTCAAGACAAGTCCACGAATCAAGCGATGAGCTTAGCAATCCTGAGAGTGATTCGTCTTGTCCGAGTCTTCCGGATCTTCAAGCTCTCTCGTCATTCCAAGGGTCTGCAAATTTTAGGACGCACCCTCAAAGCATCTATGAGAGAACTCGGACTGTTAATATTCTTTCTCTTCATCGGTAAGCTGCCCTTCTTTTTTGTACTTAAAACTCATTTTAAACTTGCAATTGCATTATACAATTTTATGTTGATATAATACAAAATCAATTTATATCAGAGATTATTACAATAATAAGTAAACGACTCATACGTTGAAGAAACTGTTTAACGTCGTGTGAGGAAATTTGGCCTGGCGTGATGCTGAGCAGCGCGGGTGGGCGGCAGACAAGCGTGCACAACAAGCTTTATGTTTACAGGCGTGGTTGTTTTCTCCAGTACCGTATATTTTGCTGAAAAAGATCGGCCTGATTCAAATTTCTCTTCAATACCGGACGCGTTCTGGTGGGCGGTTATAACTATGACCACGGTTGGCTATGGGGACATGAGGTAATTCACGCGACGCAACCCGTCCCGCGCCTGCTCCTGACCGCCTCCACTCATCGTATTCCCACTGTATGCGCCTTTATGTGTGCTTAAAGGTGTGGTGCTGTTTTCGTCTGCGGTGTACTTCGCGGAAGCGGGAAGCGAAAATAGCTTCTTCAAATCGATACCTGATGCGTTTTGGTGGGCGGTCGTTACCATGACGACCGTGGGATACGGAGACATGACGTATGATTCAGCGAATGCACCCTTAACATCATTTTATATTTCCGTCGTTTTATTTCATCGTTCCGTTTTGATTACCATTGGAGTTTTCTATGCATATAACTGCCATCGTAAGCTTTGTTTGATTTTAATTTTAGTTCGCTTGAAATGAAATCTTATTTTAAAATGTTCGCACATTCATGCCATTATTTATCTTGGTTTTGTGGTATGTCGATTTCTACCTGAAACTATTTTACACATAGCACATTCCTGTAATTTGCACTAGTATCGTTAGTATAAATGAATGATGTTTTGATATTAAAGGACGTTAAAGGTGACCGAATCGTAGATATTAACAATCGCCCTTTCCAAAGCGTAATCGTTAAAACTGTACTGCTTTTAAAAGCTCTTTAAATGTATTTAATGTTCCTATCCAACGCTTTTGCTTAAATGTAATTACAGTCCCAAAATTGTTGTTGTACATATATAGTCACGTGTTTAAATGTAGCTTATCGAAAATGGTGATCACCTTATCTTCAGCCCAACTAAAAAAAGTTGCAGTGGCTAATCATGAATCTCAAAACCTTATTTAGAAACAATTATTACTAATATATAAAGCTGGGTTAGTTACATAAATCGTCGCTAATGTGTAAAAATGGATTTCAGGCATGAAATTTCTCTTATGTTTTCTTCATTAGTAACTATCACACCATTTTCGATAGAGTTTTTGTGTACTGTTGGTATAAGTCAAAATGCATGACAGTAATTTAGTATAGCTTAAGAATTATGCCCTATAAAGACCAGTTCTTTATACCGAATGATGTCAACAAGAATGTTTTTATGTGCTACGCGAATAATTTTTTGATATAAGTCAGCGTTGATGTTCATCTTTTGTGGACATACTGCTGGCATTAAGCGAAGCGATATTTGCTGGCGAGTATGAATGGTGATGTATAAAAGGTATTGCTGAGCGAACTTCTTGGATTTTATAGTGGACCTAAGTGGGTATGTACTGCATGTCAGTCACATACGTCCATATATTTGTATAGTACGTTTGTTATACAAGATGTTATTTCATTAGGCCTGTTGGAGTTTGGGGAAAAATCGTGGGGTCTTTGTGTGCAATTGCTGGTGTACTTACCATCGCACTGCCTGTGCCCGTCATCGTGTCCAACTTCAACTACTTCTACCACCGTGAAACTGATCAGGAGGAGATGCAGTCGCAGAACTTCAACCATGTTACCAGCTGTCCGTACTTGCCAGGAACTCTGGGCGAACCATACTTAGGTTAGTAAATATTTAAGGCATTTATTGCCACGGCATTCACGCACTTTTATAATAGGAAATAACAGATAATTAACGAGATTGACCGACAAGACAAAATTTATAGCCTAACACCGTAGATAAGCTGATGTTTTATTATTTACACCTTGAATAATAAATATTACAAGTTAATTATATAATTAAATTATGTTTTAAGTACGATAAAAACCTTTAGATATATTTTATTTATAGAATTTTCTGAATGATATATTTGGGCATTCTTAGTTTGTTAATTGCTTATTATAAAAGTGATAAACATTGACAGTGGAATACTTTTTTATTTTATATTAACTTTTTTGATTTATTTTATTATTAATATTTTCAGGAAAGGATGATGATAGTGACGAGCTCTTTGATCAATAACTTTAAGTGTTTATAAGTTAAATTGAGACTTTAAATTATCGAAAGAGACGATTCTTGTGATATTATCCATTAAGACACAATGTGTAAATACTAGTTCTAAGAGTAAAGATGCGGTAATAAACATAGTTTTTGTTCTAGTTATGTTTGCGACATATTTATTTTTAAAGTTCTTAGGCGATGCTCGTTTTAGAACGGTTGGAACAGAGTCTGTTTTCTGTTTTACATTTTACGAGTGAGTTGTACGAAATGTAGAAGAAGACTGATATTCCTAATGATACGGTGACATGGTCATCTTATTTATGTCCTATTTTAATCGATTCGAATAAAATTAATGTCGTTGACTTGATTTAATTCTCAATTCAAACAGATTTACTACTTATAAGTTATAAGTTTAATAACAAAACTTTTCGATCTAAATGTTTATAGATATTACAAAATATCAACAATCCAAAGTGTAAGTTTTTTTTATTTATTTCTTTGCTTGAGTTACGCTTATGTTAATAACATCGTATAATTATTGTTTTGTGTTGCTTTGTGTGTGTTATTTATTTGGTTGGTGTTTGGATTTTTTAAAGCTTTGACGTAGACTTATCATTTGGAACAAAAAGTAGGTAAGTAGCTGATAAAAAGGCGAATTCTAGAAAACTATTATCATACCCACCGTATTGCTAATATATCCTGGAACACTGTTTTATTAGCTAAATGTTATAGAATTTACAAATTAAATAAAATTTTTTAAAAATTCTTATAAAGCAATTTGAACCAACTCTAGATTTTAAATACTTAAAAAAAAAATAAATGACGATACACCTTGTTGCTAATTATATAATAACTAATATTATCTTTGGATAACGTTTGTAATCCTTTATACTAATTCAACATTTTATTTTTGGCCATAATTCACTCCTATTGTATTATTTATTTATCTCCCCATATAATTATTCTTTCTTTATAGCTATAACTAATATGATAGAGCTACTAAACTAAATTAAAATAATGTATATAGTATCTAGATCTTATAACTAATAATATAACATCTAAACTCAACTATATCTCTATATCTAGGTATATAACTCTTCTAAACTCAGCCAGTGTACAAAAAAAAGGGTGCGTGTACTTATGTACGCGCGTAAGAATTTATACTTCTTTGGCATTATTAAAAATAGTTTTTGATTGCATGCAAATAATTAATACAATTTAATAATCAAATACTGGAAAAGGAGTCATTATAGTCAATAAAGTCAGTTTACATTTGAAAAAATTAAATAAATAAATATTTATTATTCTTCTCTTACATTAAGTGTAACATAAATTTTACTATTATTCGAATGTTGTTTTTAAATTATGTCCAATGCCGTAGCATCTTCCATGGGCAACTTCATTATGTTAATTTTGTGTCACGGTGCGCGCGCATCGGAAAATTTCACTCTCATCAATTTTTCATATCGCGCCTAAAGAAGTATAACTTCAAAAATAGGTCTACATAGCCGTCCTTAATAAATATTCTTTCAATAGCCTGTGGGTCTATTTAACCAAATTCTTCAACCTTATAATAGATAAAATTATATGCAAAGAAGCCGGTGCCATTTCAAAAAATGCAACCTTCTTATTATGTAGATCGTAGGTTTCCCTGGTTGCTAAGCCCACAATGTCGTTAGTAAATGGCAGGCCGCAAGCATTACACCAATAATCCGATTTGAATGTGTGGTAGCCTATGCTAAATGCGACATAAACCACAAAATGCCATAACGTAACAAGATTATATGTCTTTGCTTCCAGTTAACGCGCTCTATTTAGCGTCAGGTACTAGGAAGGCAGTGAAGCCCTTATTTAATTGATTAAAAGTCTAACGGCCGTGTTTAGAGTCGTTTATTATTAGTGTACGGTTACTGAACATAAATGCACACATAACTACTTTAATATAATAATAAATAATAATAGAGATATCATTACGAGATTAATTTATGATGTGTTGTGTGTGATTTAATAACATTTTGGTAAACTCAATACTACAGCGGGCTCTGACTCGCCACAAATATCATGACGCGCGAACCTGGCGTGACACCCCAAACCCACCAGACCTTAGTTTAAGCAACTAAAGTCCCTTTTTAGGAAAGAGGAGTTTTGAAATACAACTACTTGCATAGCTTCACGGCCACAGATCTCCTTATCTCATGCATTTAAGCATGAGGGTCCGAAATTATACAGTTTCAAGTCTTATCGAGAAATATTCACTTTCGTAGCATATAGATAAACTAACGTTTGTTTGTTTAGCCTTAATAAATTTTTTACTTAGCCCTCCATTTTACTAGTTAAATACTAACATATGTAACATTTGGCTATGCTAACCCATAGAGGCTTTTCCAGAATGAAAACCTAAGTACCAAATAAAACTATTTTTTTCTCCATGAAAACCTTTCTTAGAGTTCAAAGACTGAATTTAAAAAAAAACAATTACTCGAAATGGACCAGCCGTCTTCCAGTTTTGCGCTTAGCAACATATTTTACGATAACTAAGGTCAGATCTATAATAATCAATAACTATTCGCGCTTTAAATTTCGTAGCTTGCACCTAAATAATTTACTATTGGAGATAAGTTAACGGAGGACTGTAAGTAATCTCTTAAGTTAAAAAATCATAATACCCTCGAATCTATAGTGAACTCATTTTAATCTTTACGTAACTCTTTAATCATGTATTAAAAGTCACAACATCTGAGGTTTATTATTTACCGATGAGTGTTAATTTAAAAAAAAAACAGTAACTGTTAATTCTTATAAACGTTTCCAGACTCGGAGTCGTTTACAGTCGCTAACTTAGTAGTAGGTAGTTTTGTTTCAATTTTTAAAACAAAAATCAAAAGCGTGCATTACTTAATATCAGGTATCACTCTGTATTCTTATTAAAGAAAGAAAAAAAAGCATATGCCTCCTATAAAGTACGACGAGTTTCATTTAGGGTCGAATCAATAAATTCCAAAACAACTAATTGAAACTTATAATTATTCTTCTTGCATTTTTCTATATCTCGTATATATTGCTAATAATACAACTAATCAACTCTTTCTGTATTGTAATATATCAACTTTACCTTATATAGACAAAATAATTCTTCTAAGACGTACCTGTACTTCAAAGTATATTTTTAATTATTAATAAAGCTAGCTAGATTACCGAATAACATATTAAACGCTAAAATGACTAATACTATAGGTTGATAAGTCGACTTAAAAAAGTTAAATCATAGACATACGATCGGTAAGAGAAATAATTAAAATTCTGCAAGCTGTGTGTGTGGTAGAAAACTCGTAAATTTTATTAATTGACCTTACAAAGCAATGCTAGCGCATTATAATGTAAATATAACCAAGTTGCGTTATCAACCTATTCACGCCTACTAAAAATTATGCTAGATCAATCAATAACTTAAAAATTATACATGAGTATGCTATACAGTTTCAGGACCAATCAAGAAGTCCTCAGCTAGCGATGGCTCATCATCGGATATGATGGAATTAGAGGAATCGGCTCTAGTAATTGATCCCCACTTGGAGACGAACCTGCGGCGGTTACGTGAGGAAGGAAGGTTGCTCCTTGAGCAGAAAAAGGTCTTGGAGGCTGCTGGTACTAGTGATGATATCGCAACCCTGGAACTGCTTGACACAATACGGCTGAATCAGGTTGGTTAAATATATGCTCAAAATGCTTAGCAATTTCTTAAGATTGTAATTGCGCCTATAATAATATATTAACTGTGATACGTATATATATGCTGGTTACTGGTTGTATTTTCATTGATGTTTGTTTTTTATGGTGTTATTTCGATTATATCGCAACATGTTTTATTCTCATCCATCAGCAGATAGGGCAGAGGAGATCACCTGGCTTTGGACATGTCTTCTGATTCTATCTCGGCCACTAGCCTAATATAATAGTCTTGCTATATAAATTATATGCTTACTAGATAAAACAGCAAGAGCTGTTAAAGCAACAAGCTGCGTTGGCAAAGCGCAATTCCCGAGCCCACTGCATGGACCCACGCCGTGACCAGCGCAGGCGCACCCAGTGCAACGTACGCATCAACCAATTGCACAGCGCGAGCGCACCTGAATCTATAGAAACAGACGTCTGACCAACGGGTAATTTAACTTTTTTTCCTTAAACACTGTACATTAATTAATCATTAATTTTAATATTAAGGTACCACGAAAAAGAGTGGAATCCCTATTATAATATACAGATTTTAAACATCAATCATTTTTAATAATCACATATTTTAATCTACAACCACGATAAAAGGTTCAATGTTGGGAAAAATTTCCGCTTCCTGACTTCGTAGCATGATCGTGTCACGCTCGTAACATGTTTGCTACGCCGTAGTACATTGCAAGACACCTTAACATGTGATTCAACTGTGAGAATTCAGCCATTTAAATTAAATTCTTAATTGTTTATGGTAAATGTAATTTTAAATTTTCTTTAAAATATCCAAATAAAGACGTGTGAATAAATTATATATTTTCAAAATGCTGTCGGTAAGTCGGATTAGCGTCAAGAGTCATTAAATATAAGTGTATGTGTTGAACATTTGACTTTAGCAAAACGTGAGTAAAATAAATAATTATGTTAAAGTAATTGGCCATCTTCACACACTTCGTGGAAATAAAATTCAAGCCGCTAGGAACTTGAATACGAAACCCGTTTAGATTCATAGAAAGAAAAAGGAAATTAAATCAGCACAGAAAAGCCGCACTATAAGAAAGTTACGTAATGTGACCGCCAAACTGATAAACATGTCAATCTGAATAATCGCAATCGCAATGAATGGCAGTGGTAGCATACCATTGAGGGGTCGGTAAGGGTCGCGATGCAGGCGAGCTTCGATCGGCGGTGAATGGATACGTAGCGACCCGATCGATACGTGCTGCGGCACCCGGCGGCTCGCGAAGCCCCGCCCCACACGTGCTCGGACCCCCTTCACCCCTCGCCCCTCATCACAGATGCTCTGCGCTGCCCTCGTGCCCCACTCTACAGATATTAAAAATTAACATCCCCGCAAAGCTGCGGAGCGGACATGACATTCGTGATAGCGTCTTTCGAAACGCAATGTCTGACCCACGACTAAATAGTTGCGTAGAAGCACAACACACTCCATTTCACTTGTAACATTAATGCATTTTTGATTTGTTCAGTTGAAGTAGAAGTACTCGTTCATCATTCCGCGGAAAAGTAAATCTGTAAGTCAAAAATGATTTTAGCATGACATACTCACTGGCATTTCATTGAACTTTAAAGTCAGATGCCATTCCTTACAGATACTATTTTACTATTGAATATTGAGATTTATTACGTCGTCAAGTGTCATTGAAAAGCCAGATTTAAGACACTTCGCTAGTTGTTTATATGCCGCTAGCGATGTCTTAGAATAACCCCGTCTCTTGTCTTCCTCTCATGTTCTTCGCGTCCTTTCATTCTATGTCAGTCATGAAAACGTCTAAAAATGCCTATGTAATATAAATCACCCCGGTGTTTAAGTGTTCTCGTTTTAAGAGGATCGTCTCTAAGTGCTAATAACATTTTTAATTTTTTCGTCATTTTTATAGACGTTTTCGTGCAAATCATTAATCTCCCGACGAAAGATAACGGAGCTAAATTCCTTAAACATAACTTATATGTATCTTTGTAAAAATAATAATTCTACAAAGATAAAAAAAATATCGTCGGGGGTTAATTAGGTATCTCCTACTGTGTGTAAACCTCTTCCAAATAATTGGATGTGTACCAATATGTGTTTTAATTTTACCTTTTATAATTTATGGAAATTATTGTACGTCGGTACGTTACGTTGAGTGTTTAGCGATGCATCCAGTTTCTTTGTAAACGTTAACCCGATGTTTTAGGTAAACAAAATTTGCATGAGATTCTCGATTACAACACGAGTTTACGAATAGGTGAATGTTTTTAAATTGTTGTAAAATGCACTTAAACGTTTTTTTTTAAATTAAAAAGTCGATAAAAATGTCGTGCACTTGTCGTTGTCTGCAGTTAATTAAATGTATGACACTTAATTAACTACAATGGACTAGGAAACAATTTATAAAATTCACTATACAATTTATTCGTAACTTTTTTCAAGAATTATTGTAAAATTTTATATGTACAAAAGATTAAACTAATTTTAAATTTACTATTAGCCAATCGTGAACTCTGCTCGGCGTAAATCGAGATAATTGGCAGTCGAATATATCCTAATGCAGTGTTTTAGTTATTATGTACATAACAAGTGATGTTTCACGTGACTTGATTGCGAATGAGAATTGTACTCATTTAACCAGATATAAAAAAATGTCAAATTATCTATCAACAAGACTTATTTGACCCAATTGTCTAGTTCAGTTGACAGACAAGTACAATGACTGTACTCTGGGCTACATAAGTTAACGTATGCAGATGTTATGACATCCTAAAGAAGGTGATTGTCTGTTATGTCTTTCTTTATGAAGAATTGATACTGAAACTTAATTTTGTCGGTGCAAGAAACTTTTTATTGTTTTAGAATACATTTCCATACATAGACAATCTCCTTTGTGTCATATTTAAATATCATTCGTGGAACGTCACTGGTTCTCAGTCGGTAAAATATAGAATTTCACACGTGTCTATAATGTTTCAGGAAAGGCGAGTCGGGATATAACAGGCGGGGTCTGGCGTGGACGACTACCAGCCCGTTCGCCTCCTGCCTGCCACGTGTGACCCCCCCCGTTTTCCCACTCGGCCTTACCTCATGAAACCCTCGAGGACTTTATGTGCTTCTATGAATTAGTTAGAAATTAGCCATTATTATAAACGCTTGTACCATATGAACAGATTTAGTAATAGTTCGATTTATCTCCATCTTTAATTGTGTGTAACATCGGGGTTGATGTTAGACAAAAGTTGACGTGATTTTCGTTTTATTTTGATTCGGTAACAGCGAATCACAAGTAAACAAAAGGAGCTCGCTTAATATTATAACGCCCCAGTAAAAGGGTGATATAATCAATATCAAAAATTATTTACTGGTAGGTTTCCATGCCCTACGCTTGGAAAACATTTAGACCATTTTGTCGGTTTGATTCAGATGTTAGACTTTACCTTATTAAGTGATATTTGCTATATTCATAAATAACTTTATCAACTCTACTCTACCCAAATCTATATGTATAATTAAAGATGGAAATAAATATTTTAAAGGCTTATTCCGCTTCAACACTTACAGCTACACACTTCGACACTTCTGTAATATTAGGAATTGTTCTTCAGAAATATGTAATTGAAATAGGCCTACAATTATTAGATGGTACAATTAGGACTCTGGTATATGACAATACAATGGATGTGACAAGGGGCTAGTGCGCCTAAAACTCGGATTATGAAAACCCCGGATTTTGACGTAAAATATTCGCTTTGTTAAACATCCAATTAGCGGCACAAGACTTTCGATAATAATTATTGTCGAATCGAATTATATTATGACAATTCATGCCTCTGTAGATGCAACGATTGATATATATTGAATGGATATAGGATGTCTGAAGATCGGATTTATAAGAGATCGTAATATTTGAATGTTTGTTGTTGCATAAAACGGTGCTAAGCGATGGCAAAGGTGTCCTAAATCTATGCATTGTATGCAATCTATTTGATGGAAAGTAACCGTTTGGATGCGGTGTGTGTGGAAGATGGCTATGGTGAGGCATTTAGAACGAGGTTGAAGGCAAGGAAAACGTATTTATATTGAATGTTGTGATTCTATGGGCAATCGCCGACTGTACTTGTAACACCCTCAATTACCCATAGTAGAGAATGACCGTATAGTTGTAGAAGATCAATGTCGTGTTAACGATAAGTGTGTTTATTTAATGGAAAGCAGAGGTTGTGATAACTCCAGTATTGCATATCCCAGTGAAGGTTTTACGCGTGTTGACGGTGAGCAATATGTTCATATCAGGTGATTTTGGATTTAAATTGCGTCAATTTACTCTCTAAATTTATAGATAACGTCAATAATTCAGAATTCGCTTGCTTTACGTCTAAAACTTACATATCGTTTAAACGGAGTCGTAAGATTGTATTTAAAATGGAATGTTATCGGAGATTTTTATGATGGAAGTTTATCATCTCAAATTCGTTGTCAATTTGCTTGTGTGTAGGCGTAGAAATATCGCTTTGGTTATAAGCATTATTGGGAATGAGCAACCAAATTTCGGAGACATTTGTGCGTCACATTAATTCCACGGGCCTAATTCCTTTTTAACAACTGGATGTTAAAGCGTTTACTTCTCGTAGATATGTGCTGTTTGATGGTGTTTTCTCAATATTGCTTACATCAAGGCAGTTATTAAATGTTCAAAGACAAATAATTTTTTCCATATCATTATACATGTCATAGCTGTAAACATTAAAATATAATATACTCGTTTATTCTCTTAGATTAAATTAGTGTTAGGTGATAAGATTAAGGATCTTTGTGTCTATATATATCTTGGGATTAGGTTTTACGTAACAAAAGCTGCCAAAATATCGCTTGGATTTAAAAAATGATTGGTTTTTTGTAGCAGTAGGCCCCAAGATGAGAATTATATGGCAATTGCAGTCTGTCGCCTCTCAATTTATATACATTAATTTCCTCAATTTATCAGTCATTACACCACGACAAGACGTGTTCATACATTACCAACAGTCCCATAAAAATACCTATTCTAATGAAATCATGGGGCCTGCGCCATTATAAAATAAGAAAAGTACATTTTAAACTCTCAATGTAAAATAATTTTCCAATCAGATTCAATATAATCTATTTAATTAATAGATCCACCTTTCTGGCTGCCAAGCTATAGAATTGTTTTGGATTGGAAGGTATAAGCTTAATAAATAATCAAAATCCTACCTTATTAGGCTGTTATAGTATCTACACTGCAGTTCAAAGTACTCATACAAAATTTTTAATTACGTAAAACTCATAATTTATAAATAATAATATATAGAATTTAAACGAATACAAGCATATACTCGCACATGCTTTGTATTCGCATTTAAACTCTAAGGCTGTCTTAGATTTCATTTCGATGCACAAACGGTATCGAGGTTGTTGCAAGTACAGATACCTATGTGTCAATCTATATATGTTAAATTGTAGGTATATGTGTCTATATAGTCAGTAGCGCACGGGTCCACTGACTGACGAGTTACAGGAATTAATAGGTGAATGTTGGATTATATTAATTTTAGCGTAAGACTAGTGAAAAACTATGTTTAACACTATTACGTCTGTAAAGGCATTTTTGTTGGAAACTGTCAAAATTATTCGGAATTTTAATAAAAACAACAGACTAGGCATATATCCATCTAATTTTCAAAAACAAAGCCGTACACACATTTTAGAATCGACGCTGATCGATCGACAGTCAATTCGTATTGCCTAGTCTTCTCAATTCTAAATATAATAAAATTACGATGTAAAGCGCGTTAGTTATCGACCAATTTCTTAAAAGATGTATTTTATTGAGGCGAGACTGACGTACATTCCATTAACTATAATTATAGTATAGATGTGTCGCAATGGATTGTGAATTACTCATGATGGCCAAAATTGTATTTACGCTCACTGCGTATTATAATTTTTGCTCAGTATTATTAGTTGTATCGAAGGATGTAGTCACGGACCCGATGCGTGTAACACCGTTTACTTTCCTTTATATCTTGCCCTGAAGTATATATCCAAGTGAACGTAATCTTTTATAGGCAAAATATAAAGGAAGCAAACAAAATATCCAACTTCGTTTTAAATGACTCGAATGGAATCTTGAAATTATCTTTCACTTCAAGATTCTTAACAATAAGTAGTTGACATATATCTAGATTTCACCCAGATAATTTTCTATAATAGTTAGGGCGAAGTTGGTTACTATTAATATATTTAGTCTGAAAAGACAGACTGTATATAATATGGTCTTTAGTAAACAACTGTAATCAGTAAAATTTAATCTGTATATTTTATTTTAAGATCTATAGTTAGATATATGCAAACCTTAGCGTATATCGACTGGGTATACACGTACTTCTGCTTGAGCAATTAACGGTCTGTGAGCGGTTCACGTGTTCTCCGGAACTTGGACGGGACTCGTCTCGGTTGCGACAGTTTATGCTTAACAGACTAATAAGACGTGCTGATTACATTGACCCAAAGAATTACTCTCATAATTGTTTTCCCACTTAGATTTACGTGGTAAAAGTCAGATTCGAGATTTAGCGCTAATTAAAAACCCTGCATGACAAAACGTTTTGGGTTTGACATGCGGGAGTATAACTTACCGCTAAGGACGTTTGTTCACCACCGCCGTCACCGAGAACGAGATCACGGCGCTGATTTAGCGATACATACATTTAATATGTCTGTCGCAGCCAATTACTAGCTAGCTTAATTGGCCGTTCAATTAGCCGCCTAGCCTTTTAACTAAACGGGGCCGTTTAACTAACGGCCTGAAAGATATTCAGCCGTAGCGTTTGCTACAACATTTAATAAACTGGCTGGCAAA